CAGAGCTGCCATTTGCCAGTATCTGCGACGAAAGACTGACTGTGTGAGGGTCCCACAGCCAAGACTGACCGTGTGAGGGTCCCACAGCCGTGAGAGGAGCCGCCCGAGGGCCTCCCGGAGCTCAGGGCGGGCACAACGGCGCGCCTCTGCCAGCAGCTGCCATTTGCCAGTATCTGCGACGAAAGACTGACTGTGTGAGGGTCCCACAGCCAAGACTGACCGTGTGAGGGTCCCACAGCCGTGAGAGGAGCCGCCCGAGGGCCTCCCGGAGCTCAGAGGGCGGGCAGTGGGCTAACGTCGGTACCTACATGGAGTCACTGCCACCGGTGGTTCCGTGTTAGCATTGAGTCTGCTTACTGACAAATGACGATTTCTCTCAGAAACTAATTTCAGATGCATGTTTAAGTTTTTGGCTTTGTTTTTGTAAAGTGCAGTTAATGCCGGTGCAGTTTAGTTAGTGAACCATAATTTAGATTCATTCATTCATTCATTTATACCCATTTGTGGAACAGCTGTTTGTTGGATGTTAACTCTCTGCGAAGTGGGGTGTCAGTCTTTAGAAACACCACCGTGAACAAGACACATAGCCCTTCCCTCCATGCTGTCTAGGGGAGGAGATGAGGAAATAGATAACAAGTAAATCAATACTAATCACGGTACATTTTATGAGGGCACCGCGCCTGTTCACATTTCAGCAACTGTTGATTGCCTTGCATCCAATAACAACGAGTGAACGAACGGGTAGATGAGTAAATGGTTCTTAGAGAGTTCTGCGAAGCACATCGGGGGGAAGGAAGTCCCTTCTATGAGGTTGTCAGAGAGGAATTGTGGGGGAGGGGCAGCTAGGCAAACCCTGACAGTGAGGCGGGGACCCCAGACCAGGGAGGAAAGGCCGGGCCAGGAAAGGGGGCAGGGGGCAGGGTCTAAGAGGGGCCTGGGCTGCAGAACGGAGTTTGAGTTTCAGCAGTTGGGAAGCTCCTGAGGAGCTAAGCAGGGAGACCATGATCTGCTTTAGGTTTTAAAATACTGTCGTTTGCTTTTAAAAACACGAGGTTAAAGATGTGACATCTGTGTTTGTTTTGTGGTAGATGAATAATAGAAGTGCTGTTACTGTGCGTGTATATATTCTCCAAGTCTGCATGCAGTTTTTACCTAACGATAGGAAAGCATTTGGCAGGTGGCGTGTAATAGGCTGCCGTATTGTTTTGGTCACGGCTTTTCTTAATCCATTCTGACGCAGAGATAAGGGCCGCATTGCTGGTATAGGCTCGGCGTTTCTGTTTCAGCTTAGTGAGCGCCTTCAGCTCAGGGGGTAATGTTTCCCATAAAAGAGGACACTGTTACTCTTTTTTTTTTAACCTTACGTTTAAAACTAATTTTAATAAACACATATAATTTAAAAAAAATAAGTACTTTTAAGAATTTATTTTAGAGAGGGAGATGGAGAAATAGATAGATAGATAGATAGATAGACATCAGTGATGAGAGAGAGTCATCGATAGGCTGCCTCCTGCACGCCCCACACTGGGGATGGAGCCTGCAACCCAGGCATGTGTCCTGACTGGACTCGAACCATGACCTCCTGGTTCACAGGGTGATGCTCAACCACTGAGCCATGCCGGCCGGGCAACCCATACGCTTAAACAAAAGTTTGTCTTCTTGGTACAAGGACACACGGTCCTTTGTTGTGGTGGAATTTGCGAACCTGAAGCTTCTAGGGAGCCGAAAGGCACAGAGGGGTCGCCTGAACATGAAATGGCGTATTCCCCATGGGACTGTTACTATCCCCCGCCTTTGCAGTGTTTTGTTTTTACTCCTCCTTGGCACTCTTCCCATGTTTTGTCACTTATAGCGTCAAAAACGAAGCCTCCCTCCTTCTGATCACTTCGCCTGCTCCCCGATCAGCGAGGATGCCGTCGTGCTCATCTCACTGTGAGCTGCACGTTGCTTGGATGTAAATACAGTGAAGGCAGTTCATGGTGCTTGCACACTTGGGAGGGTCCTGCTTACCCAGAGTTCGTTAGGAGCCACAGGACGACTCTTCTTCCTCACTATTTCCCGGATCCTGAACTTTCAGGAGGTCACTAACCTTTCTTCTCCTTCTCCTTCCAGAAGGGTATGGTGAAGAGATAGCCTGCACTCAGAACGGCCAGATGTACTTAAACAGGGACATCTGGAAGCCCGCCCCCTGCCAGATCTGCGTCTGCGACAACGGGGCCATTCTCTGTGACAAGATCCAGTGCCAGGAGGTGCTGGAGTGTGCCGACCCCATCACGCCCGCTGGGGAGTGCTGCCCCGTCTGCCCACACACCTCCGGAGGGGGCGGCACCCACTTCGGTGAGCACACTGGGCCGCTGGGGCCTGGGCCGGGGCTCGTCGGGCAGTCGGGCAGTGGCGGCGCCAACAGACCCAGCAGCTCCGGAGGATGGTTAAGCCGCTCTTCAGTGGTCTTCGGGGCCCAGGACTCTGCTCACCCACTTTCTTAGTGATTGCCTGTCTTTTTAAAAACCAGGAGGTTTTGGCTGAGTTTGGAGCAGTTATGTCTAAGTTAAGAATTCCCTGTACCATGTTAGCTGGTCATTTGTTACCTGTCCGTGCTGGGTGCCTCCAAGGCATTTGTTGATTTTCTATGAAATTGATTAATGTGCTGAGAGAAAATCTGGAAAAAACAAACAAACATTTATTTTCCCTGGTGCCAACTTAGCCCTTGGGAGTAGAAGAATGATTCCTAAAGTAACTGTGTGCCACAGAACCACCTAGAACAGTGGTTCTCAACCTTCCGAATGCTGCGACCCTTTAACACAGTTCCTCATGTTATGATGACCCCCCAACCATAAAATTATTTTCATTGCTACTTCGTCAGTATAATTTTGCTACTGTTATGAATCGTCATGTAAATATCTGATATGCAGGATATACTTTCATTGTTACAAATTGAACATAATGAAAGCATAGTGATTAATCACAAAACAATCTGTAATTATATATGTGTTTTCCGATGGTCTTAGGCGACCCCTGTGAAAGGGTCATTCGACCCCCAAAGGGGTCACGACCCACAGGTTGAGAACCACTGGTCTAGAACATTAGCTCAGAATGTTTTTAACGTTGGCAGAGAAAGAAAAGAGAATGGATGTATATCCTGGAGAAACAGTGGTGTAAACTACTGGTTTTAAAACTTTCTTGAGAGAAAAGTGCGTGCATTTAGCATAGACTGCATGCCTGAGAACATATGTTAAAGCTCACATATGAGAGAAACAAGTTTACATGTATGTGTCTTAAGGAACAGGTGAGGTTGATGTTAAAGTTCTAGGTCATGGTTTCACGGGTCATGGGTGGAGACTTGGAGCAACGTGGCCAAGACAGTGCCCAGGCTTTATTTTTACCCCAAATGCCATTGCCAGTCACAGCAAACGCAGTGACGTTTTCACAGTTAGGCAGGAATTGACCAGTGCTCCTCCTGGAAAGCATTCAAGTAACGATGTGCCTTGAATAAGTATCTAAACTTACATTTTGGGGAAGTAATAAGAATGGAGAGGCTTAAAGCCAGGTACGTAAGGGCTGCCTGCCGCAGGTGCGTTCTTCAAAGAACCCCAGGGAGGGAAGTAAAATCCCGTCGGTGGGGATCAGGGAGCAGGACGTTGGGCACTGATGGCAAACACCAAAACCAGCCAAATGCTCCACCTCCTGCAAATGGCTGGTCTAGGAAAACTCAGCTCCTTCCCAGGTGCGTATCAACAAAACAGTGACAACCACCACCAAAGACCTGGCACGAGCACTGACACAAAGATACAATGAGAAAAAAGTACGGGAGGTTTAACCACATTTACGTGATCAAGAACAGGTAAACTCAGTTAACTATATCATCACAAAACAGGGAGATCATTCGACAAAACCTTTCATCATAAACTGAATAAAGTAACTGCCTCTGAGAAAGAAGGCCATAAATTAGAAATGCAAAAAAATGTAATGCCAAAGGAAATAGAGGGGAAACCACAATCATAATGGAGACATGCAGGTGAAATCGTAGGGAGCACAGGAGAAGTGATGCTGCAGAAAATGCACGAAGGGACATAGGAAACAGTGCTGAGAAGGGAAAAAGGGAAAAGGATTTGAGAGGAAGTAATCGGGGTACACAAGACAGGTTATATCCCCGAAGAGGAATCCCCCAACGAAGAAACAAACATAGAAGAAAACTTTTCTGAAGTAATATTAAACTTTACTTTTAATATTGCAAAGGGAAACCAGGCGTCTGAAGAAGTTGACCCAGAAGAATCAATGTAGAGACTTATCTTAGTAAAATTATTAAACTTAAAGGAAAAAGAAAGAATCTTTTGGAAAACCAAGGAAAAAAGAATGTTTAATAATAGAAGCATTTTCTCCAAACTCAGAGGTAAAACAAGGATTCATTATCACAGCAGCAATTCTACATTATTGAATGTACCTGAGCAAGCAACTAGATAGGAAAAAAAAATAGAGATTTAGAAATTAGAAAAGAGAAAATAAAATTATCAATTTGCAGAAAATAAAATCATGTGCTTATAAAACTGAAGAGAATGGAGTAAAAAAAAACCACAACACACACACACACACTACAAAAATAAAAGATTTTAGTAAGAGGGCAGTGTGAAATAAACAGATTAATAGGTTTACCATATGCGATTACATCCTATATAATAAAAGGCTAATATGCAAATTGTCCCCTTGGGAGTTCAACGGACTAGGAGTTCGACCACTTGCTATGACATGTGCTGACTACCAGGGTGTGGCATGGAATGAAGGAAGGTCCCAACCAGCAGCTGGCAGCCAGGAAAGAAAGGCCCCAGCTGGCAGCCAGCAGCGGGCAGCTGAGGGAAGGAAGGCCTGGATTGGCCCTGATCGCTGGCCAGGCCTAGGGACCCTACCCATGCACGAATTTCGTGCACCGGGCCTCTAGCCATAGTATAAATAATGAGAATAAAAATCTTCATTTATAATAGCAACAGGGAGGATAGAGTGGCTAAGGATAAATTTAACACAAACTGTTCGAGATCTATCTGAAGAAATCTGTAGAACATGACTAATTCAAATGATGACTTTAACAAACGGGATGTTCTATTACATTCTTGGTTAGGAAGACTGATAATAGGAAAATTAAGAATAGTGCCTCCCCCTCCCACCCCCCCGTTGTGGGTGAAATGTGGGAAATCGGGGGAGGGGGACAAGAGGGAAGGAGGTTTTTACTGTAAATTGTGTACCTTTAATATAGTTGGGCTTGTTACTCATATGAATGAATAGCCTACTCAAAAAAACATAGAAACAAAAGCAGAGAATAGTGTCTAAAATATTTCAGTATAATTTTAACTAGAGGCCCGGTGCATGAATTCATGTGCAGGTGGGGTTCTGAGGGGGGCGGGGGGGATGGCTGGGATGCGATCGGCCCTCCGGTAACTTAGTGAACTTTAAATGCTATATAAATGATATGAAGAATATTTTTTTAAAATAAAATGTCACAATTCTCTAAAGGGATGCATGATTTTGCCTCTTACGGATACATTGATCCCAAACAACTTTAGAGTTCTGCTCACTGGTGATAGGGAAAAACACTACCTATTATTAAAAGAAGTATTTAGGAGATTTAAAGAAACTATTTCTGCATAAAATAACATTGATTCTCTTCTTTTTACAGGTAGAGGAAGAAAGGTAAGCTTTATTTTGTATAGTTCCATTTTTGTGTCTTTTTCATCCTAATACTGTCTAAAAAGAACTGTGCTTTTGAAGTGTTTGGAACCCTTTCATAAAGTACACAGTACCATCCAAAGATAAATACATGAGCTCAGTGCAGCTTCTTGCTTACAGATTACAGATGCTTCTATTTCATGCGCTTTGTTAATTCTTGTTTATAGCTATTCCTTCCAGAAGACAGTGGGCCCGTAGGGATCGAGGCTGTGTCACATTAACCTACGAATTACTTCTGTTTATCATAGTACTTAGTGTATGTGACTTAAGCATTAGAAGTGCAACAGATGTTTAACTGAGTGAAAGAAGGGAGGAAGGGAGTGGGAGGGAGGTAAGGAGGGAGGGAGATAGGGAGGGAAGGAGGGGTCTGTGTACCTCATGATCCCTGTGACCGCCACAGTTTCGCTGTCTTGACTTTCTTGAGCACTAGCTCCTGCCAAAAAGCATGAGGAGAAGGAAAAGTGAGAACACACGTGCGAGCAGCCTTCCCTAGCGGTGCCTCTGACATGAGCAGCCCCTGGGATTCGCTCAGGTGCCCATTGCGAAGGACTGGACAGACAGGAGCGCCCACTGGGTGACATCACTGCTTGGGAGGCCACAGGACATCAGTGTGTTTAATGCATTCACCACCTGGAAGAAGGAAGAGCAAGTCCCCGCTTTGGAGAGCAAAAGGGGGAAAGGAAAAAGGCTTGGGGAAGAGCTCTCCTGGACGCCATCCTTTCTTGTTCCTGTTGCCTCCTGGGTATCGTCCTGTCAGGGGCAAGGCGGGTTGAGAGGGGCCGTTCACCTGTGAGGACAGGGGAAGGCGCTGCTGAGGCGCCTGCCACCTCCTGCTGGTCTACCGCTCTCAGCACGGGGTGCGCGTTCAAATCTCCTCAAGTCCATCTTGTTGTGTCCCTCCCAGGCCTCCCTGAATCGCCTGAAAAGCCAGTGTGTGCCATGGGAGCCAATCTGAGAACTGAGGGAAAGAAGGGAGGAAGGGAGTGGGAGGGAGGTAAGGAGGGAGGGAGATAGGGAGGGAAGGAGGGAGCGAGGAAGGGAGGGAGGGAGGGAGGGAGGGAAGAAAAGGAGAGAGGAAAGAGGGAAAGGGGAGAGAGGAGAGGGAGAGAGGGAAGGAATTAGTTCTACTTCAGTAGAGTTGTGGTCCCTCTTCCATTAGTTGGGAAGTAAAGATTCAGCTAAAGGAATTAATTGAGCATTTTACCAAACACATACCACCCCCTCTTTCTCACCTTCAAGGGGCCTAAAATCTAGCTCCAAGGTCAAGCCTTACTCTCAGGAGGAAAGGAGGTTCCATGGCCATGGCCTCCCACACTGGCCGTCACCCACCGGTCGCCGGGAAATGGTAGTCCCACTAGTGAAGAGAGTCCACTTCCGCTTGTGTTCTCAGCTTTCTGGTTGCCGCGGGAACGGCGGCATTTGCTTCTCTCTCATCCCAGTGGGAGGCACAGGATTCCGTGGAAACGGCAGTCACCCCGGGTTTCAAGACGATTGCTGCCACATCACCCGCACATGTAACGCGTCCTCCGCTTGTAGACGCTGGCGCTGCACTGAGTGCTGGACCGGGGCGCAGGTGCAGCAGGGCTGTGCTCAGGGGATGCAGGGGACGCTCGCCAGCGGATGCCAGGGCACGGCCACACTTTGTGCCGCGGGCATATCACACCTTTGTCTTAATTGACACAGGTCGAAGGAGAGGCCTGCCAGTGCCTGTTTAGATCTAAAAGCTAGGAAAGCTGAAACCTAAACGTCTGAGTTCAGGCCTCAAACAAACTCGATAAATACATAGAAGATCCATGAAATAAAAAAAGAACTGACCCGAGGACGGCCCTGAAGTAATCGGCTCGGTTTGTCGGCATCACGCACAGCATCGAAGGGCAGGGCTGGCTCTGGCATTTAGTTCCCGGCCTTTTCCCGGAGGCGGGCAGGATGCAGGACAGGGCACAGCCAGGCGGTGCCAGGGCAGCTGCGCTCTGCTCCTGATCACCAGGGTCCCAGCAGCGAGAGCAGGTGATGCTTAGAAACGCAGGTGCTCGGGGCATATTGATGCCGAGTTTTATTATAATTTATTCATTTGTTCATCACAACCCTCAATAGAGGCAAACAATACAAATGAGGCGGTAGTGGGACAAGCACCCCATCTTATAAAAGTGATGGGGCCTTGAATGGCGAGTAACAGATATAAAATTAAACTGTTAATTCTCATCTGAATTGGGGTACTTAAGTGGGTATAAAAACCAAATCTAGTTACACTTTAGACAAATTATCCTTCCACATAATTAACTTCATTAACAAAGCCCATGGTAAGGTATTTAAAATGCCCATGTTAACAAAGCAGCAAATATTTACTCTCGTGGCTTATTTCCAAAGTAAGAAGTATCATAGACACATTAGACAAATGCATTATCAGAACCTGGCAATGGAATATGTAATCCCATATCAAATATTGCAGACAGATAGAGAGCGCATAAGGAGATACCAAATAAACCAACAATGTAGCTAAGAAAGACATCAGCAGATTCCATTCTGAATACAAAGCATACTTTTTTTTGTTGGTCTCTTAGGACAGAGATTTCACAACCATTTTTAGCATGCTATCCTATTTTTCTCATTTTGGCTGAAATAATTTATCCTCCCATTTTACTTCTTTTTTTAAACTTGTTCCAGAAAGAAACTTTAAAAAAATGAGGTCCTTTTTTTTTTTATTGGGCATGGATTTATATATCGCTGCTACACAATTAACCGTTTGGCTGCTGACATATTTTTTCGGACATATGCCAAAACTGCGGCACTAATTGCGCGTGTATGGGAAAAATGTAAAACACTTTTTATACAATAAACTCACTTGTATTGCTTTGCAGCAACAAAAATTAAAAAATACCAATTGTTTACATAAATTTGTTTTAATTAATTTTGTGAATAAAATTGGCATTGTTTTCACCATTATTTAACAGAAAAAAAAGTAGATTTGAAATATGTAATATTATTAGAACAATTAAAAACCGTATGCTCCGGAAACGCAACGTGCTTCGCTGGACGCACACATTCTAGTGTTGGAGCAGCATCATCACGCTCTCCGCAGTCCTGGCATAAAAAACCACAGGAGCGCTGTCGCGGTCTTCGCATTTTTGGAGTAACGTAAGAAGAGCGATAGCGCTCCTTAGCAGTCAAACGGTTAAAATGCTTGCCTGGCCAGTGCGGATCAGTGGTTGGCATCAACCTGTGAACCAGGGGGTCACGGTTCAATTCCCGGACAGGGCACAGGCTGGGGTTGCGGGCTCCATCCCCTGGAACTTACTCACCTGGAGCCCCTTCCTGCTTCTTCTCCGAGGCCTCAGTCTGCTCCCGACCCGCAGACACTCGCTGCCTCAGTCTGGGAAGCAGCAAGCAGGACCGTGTGGTTCTGCCGTGGAGCTCACCACCACGACCATCAAGGCTGTGAAAGGATTTTACAGTCTCACCTCACGGCACGTGTTCAGACGTGAGACGCTGGGACGTAGTTAGCTTGTGCCTCTGGGAGTGCAATTTGGTGACTTAGGAAAGAAATCTTTAAAACATGTGTTATCGTTACTTGACAACTTTAATTTCTAGAGATAGGTCACATGCGTTCATTAGAGAGGCCACACAAACGTTCACAAGCAAGGGCATTTGTTGTTATTTTTAATTGTAAAAATGAAGACAAAATCTAAGAGTACAATACTGAGGCTGTTATTAGGTAAACCAAGTTCACACACGTGATGGAAACTAATGTTAACTATCTCCAGAGCATTGAGTAAGATACTTAGATTATTCTTTATTTTTCTCTATTTAAAGAAATTCAGTGGAAACTGCCCTGAAATAAGCAGTTTAATTTGTTTAGTAATCACCCGAAGTGTTAAAGTGCTATGAACTCGCGTTGTTTTATAATTAGGTAAAAGAACAATATATGTGAAAGAAGCAATTAAAATAGAACTCACTACTCAAATGAGTATACTACTTAATGTGTTTATTCTCTGCAGTTGTCTAGTAAAAAGCATCGATTCATAAGCTATCAATGAAAATTAATATATTCACGAAGCGTGTATTGAGCATGTGTGTGCCAGGCGGAGGGTGCGAAGTGGACAGGGCGATGCCTTTGGGAGGCCAGGTCGGCTGGGTGACAGATCCTGAGATACAAAAGCCAGGCAAAATGTGATAAAATAGGCATCTGTTGGGACAGTTCACCGACTGCTATTTATCCTGTGTGCTTGGCATCGTGCTAACAAAACACAGCCTCTGAGATTCTAAGGTTCTAAGAATCAAAAGAAATTCCATCCACACCTTTTGTGTTTGATACATCTCTTATAAAAGCAAATTAAAGTGCTTGGCTTTATTTACTTTAGATTATGATAGTTTCTTATGTTAGTTTTTATTTTCCTATCAATCAATATTTTTTCTAGGTTTTCCTCAGATATTAAATTATCTAATATTGTCACACCTTTTCTTATTTTCCCCGTTTCTTTTTATTAAGTTGAGCACTCTTACCTCTGGTTATTTCTCGATTCTCCCAGGAGTCTTAGGGGAGGGTGGCACGGGTTTTAGGACCAGCATCGGGCACGTGATTAAACTCACGTGTCTGAAAACTCACGTGTGAAAACTCCGTGTCTGAAGCCCTAGAGCGTTTAGTTTGTCGCATGTAGGTAGCATCTCCTGCTTTGACTCGACATGTGTTGGTCACAGGCACTTCTTGGTCTCGTCAGCTCGTTGGGTTTGGCTGTTGTAAGAATGGAATTGGCTTTACTCTCTCCTTCTAGCTTTCAGATGAGTAGTGTTTTTTCTCAGGAATAATGTCTGACTCAATATCCAAAACTGATTAACTCTATCTTCTGAATTTTTTTTGTTTCTTACATAGACATTCCCAGGGTTTACATAGAATATTGTAGTATGACATGTTCATGTTCAACAGACCATCATGTTTTGCTAATTGAAGTTTTCTTCTTGCTTCACAGGGAGAGAAAGGAGAGCCAGGATCAGTGCCTGTTGTGAGTACATGTTTAGGTCACGTTCACGCCCCTTCCACCCGCTAGCTAAGAGCTGTACATTATACTCAGGTACATACGCTCAAAACAGGGAAATTTGTTATTTTATAACCAAGTTTTTAGTATAAAACAAGCAAACCAAGATTACTTCTCTAATATAATAGTTAATTTTAATATAAACTTTTATGTTTATTAAATACAAATCTGAATATTGACCAAAATAGGTTATTTATTTCATACAAAACTTAATGCTTATTCAGTACAATATTCTTGACTTTTACAGTCCCATAACTAAAGGTGAAAATCAGGGTTTTACAAAAATAAATATGTTGCATGCGACTATAAAGTAATAGACACACATTTTCAATAATATAATAGCCCTGTGATCCCAAGAGAGTGAGACTGGGCGTCCACTCTCTGGACACGGTCATGCCGTCCTCCTGCCTGAGACTCGTGTGGTGTAGAGTCACTTTTAAAAATTATCTTTTTGTTGAAAGTATGCAGATGTCCGCCCCCCCCACCCCCCACCACACACACATTGTGTAAAAGTTCTTCAGGGTCACCTAGATTTGTAGGTGATAAACGCAAGTCACTAAATAGGGTGACAGTTCTTCAGCAGCCACTGTCGTCTTTAAAGGAGTCACTACCGTTCCGTCAATAAAAAGCGTGTGCACGTGGATTCGCTTGGCAGTGGCGGCGTTTTCGCCTCGCCGTAGGTCGGCTTGTTTTGAACAGGTGGCCTGAAGAGATCATTCGTTTCCCTTTCATTTAAAACACGTCCGTGCTTCCCGTGTCTTCGGTGCTGCTTTAGGTGCTTTTCAGGTATTTGCTGGTCTTCGGCACAGCCCTGCAAGGGGTCGTTCGTAGTCCTGATCACCGTCCCACAGGAGCGAAAGCGAAGCCCAGAGGGGATGGATGGGCCTGCGGCCTGGGGCTCAGCCCGGCCCGACGCCCCTGCGGCCAGTCTCAGCCCGGCTCCGACGCCCCTGCCAGGCTCAGCCCGGCTCCGATGCCCCCGCCAGGCTGCCTTCTGGCCTCGGCCTCAGCCCGGCTCCGAGGGCCCTGCCAGGCTGCCTTCCGGCCTCGGCGCGGGGGTCCCGGGCTTCAGCTCCCGGAGGGGAGGGGCCTCAGTCCACAGCCTTCCTGTTTCTTAACAATTCTCTGGGCTGTTGTTGTTATTCCTCTTTGTTTGCTGACTTTTATAAATCTCCGTAGATAGAGGTTTCGTCTTTGCAAATCCTGTTGTTTCTCGTTTAGGTGACAGGCATCCGTGGTCGGCCCGGACCCTCGGTGAGTAGTTCCCTTCGGCGTCCGCGGTGCTGGCAGTTCTGGAAGGGACGGGACATGTCTATGAACCTCACAGCCACAAGCAGGCAGTGATGCCCAGCAGGGATGCTTGGTGGCCCTCGGCAGTTTTTCTTAAAGCAGCTTCCAGGGCAGGCCTCCCGCGGCCGCAGTGAGGGGCGCCAGGGCCGCCTGGTCCTGCAGGTGCAGCGCCCGCTGTTGCTCCCGGGCAGCGTCCCTCTCGCTATGTGAAGGGCGAAACAGCTGGGTGTACGGCTGGTTCAGGTTAGCCTAAGCATTGCCATTGGGGCACTTGTCTGCTGTGTTAAAGGTGGATTACTCTTATCTGTTTAATGAAACAATTGTTGATTTTATCTATTGATGAAATGAAATTATATAGCAGTAGAATTTGAGATATCACACATTGGAATAGCATATTTCGGATTTCAGGTTTGGATTCTCAGTAGCATTCATAGGTAACTAGATGGATCACACACACACACACACACACTCACACATGATTCCTGTGGGACTTAGGACACTAGATGAGCAGAAGTGACATGCGATAAGGCCTTCGCAGGCCTGCTCCGCCCCGGAAGCGTTGGCCTTTACGCAGTGCTGGCCGTTGGACTGAGCAAACGCACAGCCCCATTTCCTTAACTCAGTGGAACCTCTTCTGAAGAGAATGGGCTTCTCTGGGCCACTGCCGTTTTGTGGGAAAGGAGCAGCTTTAAGCATGAGCACAGGATCCCACTTCCGAAGGACAGTGCTCGCTTGTCGTGTTGCGGGGTAAAGAACTGCAGTTACTGCTGGGAGGTTCTGAGTGGGTCTTAAAGAGACAGGGGAGCTGAGGCAACGCTCTGAGGCAGCAGGAAGTGAGGTTCTGGCAGCACACGTGGGGCGAGAGCTTTCTTCCCGGCGCGTCCACTGGCGACGCGAGTGCTGGTGAGTAACTTGGGGGATCATGGACCAACGTGAACTCGGGCGTTCGCTCAGACCAGTGACATTCGGAGCTCGCACATCTGTGTCGCTCTCAGATGTCTCTGTGCCCATAGATACGGGACAAGACCCCAAGAATGACCCTTACGAATTTGCCATGACTGTTGCAACGAGTACCCTGAGCTCGCTGGCCTGCACGGGGCTGTGCTGTAACAGCGAATGCTTCACAAGCCTTAGCGCCACTGCTACAGCAAACAGCCCTCTCTACACACGCCTCCGTGTGCACGTGGCTATTTCCTCGCCTGTGGCTGAGCTGAGTTCAGAACGGAGGGAGGTTTCCAGTCTTCCAGTGTCTGATCCCGAGCAAGCCTTTCAAACAAAACCACCCGAGTGTGGACGTGTTCCGCGGCGTAACCACTGTTTTCTGCTGCAGGGCCCTCCAGGATCGCAGGGACCCCGAGGAGACAGAGGCCCCAAAGGAAAGCCTGTGAGTTGACGGCGGGCCCCTTGGTGTGAATTGTCCTGGGTGCTGGGCCCCTGGACCCCATTCTCTGGGTGCAGCCAAGAGCTGGTGGCTTTGTTCCTCCCTCACCTCCCTTCAGTGCGACATCCAGTTCGGGTCATGAGGCGATTGTGTCCGTCTCCTGATTCGGAGGAGATGATCACATGCTAATAATTACCGGTTATCCTTTTCGATGACACAGATGACCTGTCTTGGTCCTTTGTGAGGTCAAGTTAGAATGAAGTCGAACCTAAGGGAATATAATGGGTACCTCATGCTGTTTTCCGAAGTTGTAACTCATGAGTAAGCAATGCTGAGGATGCACTGATGAGCTAAGACACCCGAGCTGTGTGAGCTGTGGTGGCCACAGGGATAACCAAACTGGATGAAGGAAAAAGAAACTAATTGAGGACAAATTTTCTTTCACGTGGGTGTGTAAGGAATTCATTTCACAAGCAGCCTGCTGCTTCTTCATTGGCAGTTCTGCAGCCATCAAAGGGGTCGTTCCAAAAATCAACAAGTCCATGACCAGAATGAAGGGAGTGCCTTAGAATGTGAATAATCATTCTGCACCTTTGAGGTAGAACACGAGACTATTGTGTGCAGATGCCAGACGTTTCCCCTTATTACCTCCAGGATGGCAGTTCTTTCCCTCTGACACCCACAAAAGCTCGTGTCCTTCATCTACTGAATAGCGGGATGAATTAGTGTATTGCTATCATTACCTTATGTTTCAATCTGGAAATTCTGTGCTCTTTTATGTCAAATGATATGTCCTAAAATGTAACCCTGGACTGTTAACTTTCCAATACGCATTTATCCCCATCGAAACAGGAGAGATGGATGAGCGGGTCAGCAGCAGACAACCTTGAATATATAAACGAGGAAAAATAATCGCGGGAACTCCTGCCGCCTGTTTGCTTCTCTGAGACAATCGTGTGTTTTACTTGCTGCCGTGTGCAGAAGCATGAAACAGCATCTGCTTTTCCAGGCTGGAGCGGGGTTGTGGGTGGTGTGTGTAGACGTGCGGTAGTCGCAGTGCCCCAGGGAGCGGGCTGGCCCCACGGGTGGGCAGGAAGCTGTGTCCGATGGTCGTCTGCCTCATCCTTCACTGCTGTCCTCTGCACCGTCTCCCCCGCGGGCGCTTACACGCTGCGGTTGGCCCTCAGGTGTCTGTCCAGGGTCTGGAATGACAAAGGTGGGTGGAAGGGGGGTGGGAGGGGAGGGGGACATGCAGAAAACATTGTGCATCCATGTGTTCGTGCTGAGGATAGTTGATAACACGAGTCCTAAGTCTGGGTGGAAATTGCGATGGAAATAGCGGTTGAGCTTCCAGAATCTCTGTTAGGATTTAGTGAATCTACTCCTCACGCCTCTTACTTTTCTCTTCTTCTCCCCTCCCCTCACGATTCCTCTCTTAATCGTAGCAGTGGTGTGACAGTGTTTAACAACTGACTCCTTACAAATAAATAAATAAATAAAGTGCCTGTTGCGCTTGCCGATTTCCCGGTGTAAATACCCCCACCAGAGCTGATGTCAAGATATTGGCATGATGTCACAGAATACCCACAGGTCGCACGGCTTGCAGGAGCTGCTTAGCTGGACTAGAGCTGTGGCTGACACACACAGGAGGTACTACCATCATAAATACCATCGTCCCCGCTGCGCCCACAGCCATCAAACACTGCAGGAGGCTCACAGCGCAGAGCGGCCCCTCAGCCTCAGATCTGTTGCTGATCGGGGCGATATTTCTGTGGGCCTGTAGGATGTCTGGCAGCATTGCTGATTCCTACCCACCCGATGCTGTGGCAGCAGCTGCCCCGTGGCCTCGTACACCTGTGACAACTAAAACCACCTCTCAATGTTGTCAGATGTCCCTCGGGAGGCAAGATGGACTGAGAACGACTGACGAAGAGATGCTCTCAGAGCCTCATGACCAGCCCGTGGTCATCACGAATGTCCCTCATCACAGGTCCTCCTGGTAACCTCACAGTGATGGGAAACTAGCAACCTATCAGACAGGGCAGTCGGTGGGGTGCTGAGTGCTGGCTGCACATGACAGTTGACAGCTGTGGGTTTGTTTAACATCTGTGAAGTGGGAAATAGACCAGCTCCTGCCCCAGCAGATAACAGTTGGTGTGTTTGTCATGCTACTAACCAGCAGTGCATTAACTTGATTGGGGGTCCTCATCACTCCTACTTGTGGACGTTGAAAGGTCGCCACCTAGTGGCGATCTGCAAGACTTGGTATTGCACAGGGCTTCCCGGGATCCTAGGGGATCCTGGGGGGTGGGAGGGACCGATTCTGAAGAGCACATTGAGGCTGATAAAACGCGTGTGACTAGCTCGCTTGGGAATGGGAAAATGTATCGTTTAGTGCATTCCCAAATTGCAGTTTTTGTTTTCAATATTTATCAATGAAAATGTTCATTTACATGTCATATTTTCTCTTATAATCTTGCTTATTATGTTCACTTCATTTTGGATAGTTTTTCTGAGTTTAACCTCAGTCTGTGTAATAGTTACCCTGACTGTTTAAGGAGATGCCATGGGGATACAGAATGCACTGTGAAGTCTACGAAAAAGTGGGCTGTCTTCAGAGCTGAGTTTGAACATGACTATTAATCCCAGAGGCCCGGGGCCGGGACCCGCCACTGCGGGTTAAACCACCCAGACCACTCTTTACTCCCATCGGCACTGATGCAGTTTTGGTTTTGTCTTTGGAAACCTCTTTGAGAGCGGAAATAATGTGTCAGCTCACTTTTTGTATATAACAATAACTAGTATTCTGTTTGCAATTTCAATTTCAAAACACCATAGTTTTCCACGGCAGGCTCTGAGTGGTGTAGACTCCTCCCCTGTCTGCAGCCACTGCCAGTGTACATTCGCAGTTCACGTTGCCCACGGCCACGTGATTCAGAAACCCTCGGTAGTGGTTAAAATCAGCCCCCACTCACATGCAAGTCATGGGAAGAGTCCAGTGAGTTGTCAGGGGCTTAGGAGTCAGAAAAGGTTTGATTTTTAAAAGATGAGAATAATTTTCCAAGAAAATACTTTTCAAAATGCCACTTCTTCTGGCTAAGTTATTTACTTCTATTTGAACAGATGCCTTGGCTTATGTGCCCCACTCTCCCAGGAAGTGAACATGCTGATATGAACGTCTGCATATGTTCAGACGCATGGGTTACAATTCCGAGTAGCTCCTGTGCCCTTTCCCATGCCATCCTATGCAGACTGCCCCTCCCCCAGCTTCTGCAGTTCCCCCTCCAGCTACGGCTACCTCCGCTCATGAGCAGTCACTATCGGGGTCACTGCGTAATCTCACGTTTAGGCATGAGAAGCTTCTGTTACTATTGAACTCCAATGCACTGACCACAGTTTTCTCAGTCCGTGCTGCTAACTATGAAAATTCCATTGACTTCTGAGTTCTTTCGTCCTTGGTTTCTTCTTAGAGAAGGCGAGGACTCTTTGGGTATAAAGAGCCAGAACATAGTTAACAAGCCCCGTGGAAATGAGGAGGTTGGGCTGAGGACGTGGCCACTCCAAATGCCGCCTTCAGAATGGGGGTTGGCAGGGGAGCTGGGCAGCTGGAGGGCATCGCTCCGGTCTCCTAGGGGCAGGCTGGTGGGGCCACTGCACCGCCCTGTGCTTTGGTCTGGCCTGCCTTGGGGGTGGCGAGAAGAAGACAGTGCGCCGAGAGCGTGTAACGAACACATCGTCAGCTTCGTGCTGGGAGCCATGCGAAGCATTGAAGGGTTAGAAAGAGTAAACCCACCAACTACAATCCAGGGTCCTTCACATTTTTGTTGTTGGGGGAGGGGTTGTTAAGCAGGCACATACATAGCTGACTGTGATCTATGACAGGCGAGCACATTTAGAAACTGTTCATGAACAGCAAAACTCGGCCCAGTGAGGAGGCTCATTCTAGAAAACAAACACACTGGATACAATGTTATACTGACACACTGGATGCAATGTTGTACTGACACACTGGATACAATGTTATACTGACACACTGGATACAATGTTATACTAACACACTGGATACAATGTTATACTGACACACTGGATGCAATGTTACACTAACACACTGGCTGCAATGTTACACTAACACACTGGCTGCAATGTTACACTAACACACTGGATGCAATGTTACACTAACACACTGGATGCAATGTTACACTAACACACTGGATGCAATGTTACACTAACACACTGGATGCAATGTTACACTAACACACTGGATGCAATGTTATACTAACACACTGGATAAAATGTTATCATTACTCCAGGAAGGCTGGTTCCTGGGGATTTAACACATCAAGAGTAAAATTCTTACCCAGAATGCACCCTGCCCCAATAGTAGAGGCTGTGATCAGGCTGAATAACTGTAGGTGGCTGGAGTGCTGTTCTTTTTATGTTTTTAACATCAAAATTGGGAGGAAGGTCCACCCGCCCCCACACATGCAAAGCCTTCCCCGTGATCAGCATCCCCATCGGAGTCCGTGGGGAATAAGGGTTTCCTGTCAGTATTGTACACTGAGTTAAGGTACAAGTGCGTAATGACGTATAGCCACCATTATAGGATACACAGTGTTTTCACTGCCGTAAAACTCTTCTGTGCTCCCCTATTCACCCCCGCCCCCCACCCCTGGCAACCTTTGACCTTTGCACTGTCCCTATAATCTCGCCTTTTCCAGAATGTCATGGTTGGACTCATGGACATGGCTGTTCTTTTTAAAGTAATAGCCCCGTCTCCATCGAGGAGTCTGTGCGCTTGGCGTTTGCAGTGGGATCTGATTTCCACGGCTTCTTTTCCCAGGGTCCCCGTGGTCCGCAGGGAATTGATGGGGAGCCAGGTGTTCCTGGCCAACCAGGGCCCCCGGGGCCTCCCGGACACCCGTCCCACCCGGGACCCGATGGCATAAGCAGGGTGAGTTGGAAGCATCGTTCATGTTCCTGTCATATAATAAGTTTTTTTATTTATTGCTGTGATTTAAAATCGTGTTGGTTCAGCTGTTGGCCCTTGACTGTAAGAGCCCCCAAGGGGATGCAGTGCTGCTATGAACAAGGATAAAACTAGGAAATCCACAGGGAATTGTTGGGAAACGCAAAGCAGCTTTTTTTTTTTTTTTTAAGTGCTGCTTCAGGGACCGTGCTCCAGGCCAGCCCTGGGCCTGTGAACTGTTTCTGCTGATTCTAAGGACCCTGAGCAGGGCCCCCCCTGAAGGAGAGTGGCTCAGGGGCGATGAGATCCGTGTGACTCCCCACCAGGGAGGACGAACGGCTCCGGTGGCGCACGGGAAAGGGCCACCGAGCGGCCCTGCGGATGTGCCGGACCGTTTCCGAGCCTCTGTTTCTGATGGAAGTAAAGCAGGTGTCTTTCCGACCGTCTCTCTGAATCCCTAGTGGCAGACGGGGGATGTGTGAGTGGGTCGCACGGGTAATACGGGAACACGGGCCCCTGAAATGGGATTTCTGTTTGACAGCAGTTCGTCCCTTTGTTCTGATTGTAGAAGGAACTGCCAGTCTGTGTTTTCCAACAATTCACACCTTCTTTTCACACTAAATCCTGGAGATTAATGGGACATTGGAAATGTATGTGGACGGTTTTGATCAGTTGGGTTAGCAGAGTGTTTAGATATGAGAGAGAGCAGGTCAAACTGTTGCCAGTTCTTGGAACATTCAGGAATTCCACTGAAAGGTTTATAAAAGTTTCATTAACTTACAATAAATACAGTTTAAAACTTGCCGGCCACGAGCAGGAAGGTAGAATCCCAGCTGAGTCGCATCGTCCGACATGGAATCCGCGTCTTTCAAAGCTCCCGTGGGCTCCGTGCAGACGTCAGCATGCCGGACCCTGGGAAGGAGCCCGATGGAGGTTTACGACTGAAGTGGATTCGACCGGCCCCGTACTTAGCAGCACGATCCATGACCTTACCGAGTCTCAGACATCTGGCTCATTGCCGTCCTCATTCTGAAACAACATCGTCACAGAGCAGTGGTTCTCAACCTGCTGGCCCTTTAATACAGTTCCTCATGTTGTGGTGACCCCCAACCATAAAGTTATTCTCGTTGCTACCTCATAACTGTCATGTTGCTACAGTGATGAATCGTCATGTAAATATCTGATCTGCAGGATGGCCTTAGGCGACCCCTGTGAAAGGGTCGTTCATCCGCCAAAGGGGTCGCGACCCATAGGTTGAGAACCACTGTGATAGAGATTTGGTGGGAGGCTGTTCAATCAAAACGCACACAGTGAAAAACAACTTGATCCTTTTCTCGCTTAAAGCAAAAGTTTACAATGATTCTTAGTGGGGCGCAGGGAGGCCGGGGCGTGGGGAGGCCGGGGGCAGGGAGGCCCGGGGCGTGCGCACATTCCTCTGTGTAGTGGGTGAGAGACCTGCCTCTGACCTGCACTGTCCACACGTTGCTTTGCAGCCGTTTTCAGCACAGATGGCCGGGCTGGACGACAAAGCCGGACTCGGCAGTCAGATGGGGCTGATGCCGGGCTCAGTGGTGAGTGCCCAAGTCCCTGCTAATGACAGGACCTGGAAACGGAGGCCCGCGTTAGCTCGTGACAAGCAATGGGCATCTCCTCGGGCTGTTAGCAAACCCAGCGACGCTCGGGTAAAAGCCGGTGGCCCATCCACAGCCAGGCCAAGTATTGACATTAATAAATTAATAAAGACTGTCTATATAGTTTACTTATTATTTAAAGAAAATAAGAATTTTAAAACGTAACCACCGATACCATTTAAAAAGCGTGCTTTCTAAACAAGTGAAACAATTGTTGAGAGGGTTGTGTTGTTAGAAATAGTGATTTGGCAGAACTTTGAAACCGGTTTGCCGGTTGTATTCTCTCATTTCCT